TATTTATTATATTTATTATTTATTGAATACAATAATATATTATACTTAGTGACGCTTGTTGTTATAAAAAAATTATTGTTTTAATTTATTCGTTCTGTTAATAATATATTAAATTATTTCGTGTTAGTTTCATCATTCTTTGATTAATATTCCCATTTTTATTTATTCCCAAAATGCTCGCATAGGAAATGAAGGAAGCATGCACGGTCAGTATATGTCTTTTCTAAAAATTATGAAAAATATAATAATTAGTTATTAATTGTAATTATTTAAAAAATATTGATTTTGACACGTAATTAATCGATGAGTTTAAAGAAAGCTAAAGTTTTTTCAAAACATTTTTTTTTTACAGTGCCTTGAAAGAGTTCTAGTGCAGGATCTTCATAATGATTTGACACCCTCGTTGAGCGAGATATTAAGAAACGTGCCACGTTGGCGTTTGATTCAAGCCGCTCTTCCTTATGTTCTCCATGCTACGGCTAGTCTTATGCACAATAGGTGAGCCACACTTAGTAGCATACAATCTTCAAACTACTTCCTTGATTTTTCACACAACAATTTGTCGCTGTTAATCTTTTAGGAAAGACTTTCAGACTCTCGGCACGATGGAAACGACTCTTCTTTATATTCTTCACTGGATACTTTTGGATTCAGCTGAAGAATGCGCGGAGAATGAGGCTGATCCGTCAAATCCTTTTTTTTATTTGTTTCCGATACCTACTATGACTGTAAGTTACTGAAATCTTGCTTTAATATGTGATTTATAATTAAACTTAGATTGTAAAAATAATACATCCCTTCTTTTTAGCTTTTCATCTATCTATTTGCACCTCTGTGCAATCATCTAAAGGATATTGACTTCAAGACGAATTTACGATTAGAAAACGGCCTAAAAATATGGTCTGCCATGTACGAATGCCGTCATCCGGATACACCTTGTTTCACAGCGCATTGTCGTGCTAAACCGCGCATTTATTGGAGCCAATCCTTCAAATCCGCCAAGCATCATATGTTGTCGGATGACGTTTTTGTTGGAGGAAGTGAGTCGTTATTTTGATTAATTAAACAGAATTCTACATATTCGTAGTATGTGTTTCTTATTATAAATTATATATAATAAGAGACCTGCTCTTTTTAATTTAATTTAATTTTTAATTCTTGCACAGTTTATATTTTCCTTTTTTTTCTCCAATATGAAGAAAAAAGAAGGAAAGATGAAATGTGCAAAATATGTTCAACTAAAAAAATAGATCTAAAATAATATTAATATTTAACGTTGTTTATTAAATATTATATTTAATTTTTACTTTACTTTTAATTTATTTTATTTTTCTTTAACTTAATATTTAGATGTCGAAAGTCCACCTAGCCAATCGACTTCAGAACAAAGCGCTCCGCCGCCTTCGAAATCAGTTGATGAAGATGTAAGTTTACAATCCGATAAGATAAATATTATCAAAATTCTATTATCAAAATTGTAAACGAAAAATAATTTTATAAAAATAACAGCAACAGGGTTCTTGGCTATCTTCACCAAAAGACACGGTTTTCCCGGAAACGATTCCTGAAGAAAGTTCTGGTGCAGAAGACGAGCATGTGGTAAATTTATTATTGTAATGAATCGAATTGATTGAATTAATCGAAAATATTCAACAAATGATATATATTTTATAGGTAATATTCAGATTACCATCTTTGAGTGAATCGGAGAGAATACTCGATGGAGTAAAAGAAGTTTCCACCATATTCGCAGTGAGTTACACGAGGTAATATTTCGAGATTAAGCGCAGAGCAAATAATATTTTTGTGGCTACCATAGGGCGAAGCTAGTATCTTTCACGTCGCGATGGGCAGGACAACTTCCTCAAGATCTACAATAGAACAGTTCACGATAGAACAGGTCGCAGCAATTTCTGGATTGGACACGTGCAAACAGTACCATAAAAAAGCTACAAAAACCGGGTCAGTTAAGTTTCATAACTGTAACATTCATTTAATCATTAAACTGAATTTAATTATTAAAAATACTTTTGTCTCTAAACGTCTTCCTAATTAGAGGAATGGACAAGGAGAAAGAGGAAAAAATTTCGAAAACAGAGAAAGAAACGCAGGAGAAAACGCGTGGAAGTTTCTCAGTACAACGTCAATCTGCTGATGCAACCGAGCATACCACAGGCTCTACAATCGTGGATTCAGATGTTCGTGCGGCAACCTTTTTAGATGTAGCTACTTTGAGATGTCTGTTCGTGCCTCAATGGCAGGAAGAAGGTGTTCACTGGGCTCTTCAATTTTTTTATTATCGGTTAGTTATTTCATACGAATTAAAATCAACGTTACTTACAAAAATTAACATATGGTACTGATTGTTTTGATACACAAAATAATCAAATATTACAAAAATTAATATATATAAATATAAAAATGATTTTAACAAAGATAAAAGTATAGATGAGGACAATAAAATAGCAGTCTCCTACGTTTATGTCTCTCTTTTTAGATACTGCTATATTAAAATAATTCCAATATATCTAAAAATGAAAATCTAAAAAAATGCAATTATATTGAACAAATATATAGTTCTTGATGTGCATCGTAGGCTACGAAGAATTAACGAAGAAACCTCAGTGCAGCAAATGCCGCGTCGCCGGAGCAACTCCTTGCCTATTCCAAAAATCGAAGTCTCGATTTATCAGAGTCCCGAGAGTAAGAAGAAGGATGTAATGAAGGATTTCATAGAGGTACCTGACACACGCGATGCCTCTTTAACAGCGGGTACGTATTTATGATAATTTTTGCTGTATCAAGACAAGATCCTTTTTTTCTTCTGTGTAGACTTGGTCACATTTTCAGAATTATATACGAAGCACACGAAGGTGAAGCGAGACATACTAGACGTGCCAGCGAAAAGACGAAAAAGCGCATGAAAATGGCCGATCTCAAGGCCTTTGTAGAAACAAAACTTCTTTCGAAATCAGAGAAGGCACTTGAGAAAATTGGCCAAGAAGAACCGAAGATGTTGTTTGAGCAGGTAAATGATTGAATGTTTGAATTGCTTGATAATAATTATAAGAACACGAAGAAAACGATTTTACTAAAATATCTATAAAAATTTTATATAAAATCCATCCGTAAACTTATTAAATTTTGTAATACTTTTTAACTGTCTTTTTAAATTCTAGAAGTTAACAAATCTGTTGTTAAAATAGTATTCTAATATTTACTTTAACACTGATTCTTAGGAACATCATACAAGTCTTGATACTGGAGAAGATCATTTGACTGCGACTAGACCAACTTCGGCTAGTTCAAAGATTTTTGAAGCAAAAGACATCGATTACATGAAGCATCCTACAAATCTAATTAAAGGGAAGAGTATGCCAAGTCTAAGGTAAGTGCTGCTAGCTTTATTCGAAAAAGAAGAACTAGAGAAGAAATAGAGAACTTTAAATTCGTAAATTCAATACTATATATATTTTTCTCTTTTTAATTTTCAATCTTCTTCATTCACGCGCGTCATTGTTCTATCTTACATAATTTTCGTATTGAATTATTTCTTTAATTTACTACAAATAATAAACAGTTTTATAGAATTTCACGTTTTCAGTTCTTAATAAAAAGTCCATTATATAACAAATATTTTTACAAGTAAACATATTTTTATAGACTAGTTTCAGAAGTTACAATATTATATTTATATCTCTTCTTATAAATTATGTGATAATAATAATAGCCAAGAAGGACGTAGTTGTGCTTAGACTGTATGCAATAAGAGATAAACGTTTAGAGCAAGAATTTTTTACGGATATAGAAAAGAATCCAATGTTGGCTAATAAACAACATATTAGGTAGTAAAAAGAAATCCATTATTTTTCCATTCAATTTCATGCAAAAATAATGGATTTCTTTTTACTACACCTAATATATACTTATATACAATGTATATAATATTCTAAAAATTTTTCTTACTATTTTTATAATTGAATAAATTTTTAACTTTAATTTATTTTCGCAAATTCAATTTCATGCAAAAATAATGGATTTCTTTTTACTACACCTAATATATACTTATACACAATGTATGTAATATTCTAAAAATTTTTCTTACTATTTTTATAATTGAATAAATTTTTAACTTTAATTTATTTTCGCAATCATATTATTAAAAACATAAAATTGAAGAATATAAAATTTAAGAAAGTTTTATCCAACATTGACGATCTTGAAAGATGTTTTTGACCATAAATCGGGCGGATATATATAAATTCAATTACAATTTTCTCGATTTATAGTATAAATTTTTTAGAATTAAATGCAGTATAATATACATTTTTTCGTTAAAAATAACGATGTGTCTTGATTAAAGTGATTTATGTTACGTATTGGAAGTTAGATGTAATTAGCCTGATGTATGGTTCAAGAATATAGAGCTCATGTTCTCCGACAATTAATTCAGCGCTTAAATAACGATAAGCCTATCGTAATACTTGTGCGTAATGGTCTTTCTCTGTGTGTGTCTCTTTTTTCTCTCTCGTTCGCCCTTTCACCCCGAACTCGTGCTCAGCTGCTTGATTAACGAGCTGACCGCGGGAGGGTAAGTCATCAACGTCATTCGGAGGAACGTCCGTACTGCAGCTTCGGTTCACACGCTTTTTTTACGAGCTTTCTGCTTTCGGTAGGGCGCACTTTTATCCCTTAATAATTGAAAATCAGTATCGGGTCATCGGCAAGAATCCACGAAGGCATATGAGGCACATGACTAAACTCGTATATCACTGGCAATCTTGTCTAAGTAATTTTTTAGTAATTATTTTTGTATGTGATAATTTTGATTAAGATTATTGAGTTTTTGATGATAATTTATATTTTGTTAATTTTATACACAAAATTGTTCCCTTTCTTATTCTCTCTCATTCTATCTTTTTAACATTTATATGTGAGATAACAATTTTTTTAATTCTTAAAATTAATGACCTATGACATTTCTATTTTAATTATATTATTTTATAACATTTAAATATAT